TAATTCGGTTTCATTATTATTCTTCAATAGTTTAGTAAGTATTATATTCAATATAAAAATTAAAATTCTACGTTGTTTCTATAATTTACTTCAGTACCACAATACAACTCAGACATTCGAATGATCAATTTTGAATCGATTTCATTTGATTTATTCCGGTGTGTAATGAAAGAAGCAGGAAGACCAATGATTATCACAGTAATAACAGCAATTAATGTATACCACATATAACTTACCGAATAGAGGTCAAGAAGAGGACTGCGCCTAACGTATATGAAACAAACAAATTTTATTTCAGCATTCATGATCATCAAAGTACAATTAAAAAGGCTCTATTTTTGTTTTTTGGCTATTCATTCAACTTTTCTAATATCTGAGCCATTAACAGACAATAAATTGATATAATGAATTTACAAGTAACGCTCGTCTAAAGACTCGCTCAGCTCTTTCTCGTAGAAATTGTGTTTCTGAATTATCATCAAGCTGTTCATTTATAAAATCAAAAAAAATTCGAAGTCCCGTTCAAGTTTCTCAATCTCAATTGCCTTTGATCAAATTATATAAAAGAAAATGTTTTTTGTAAGAAAGTGGTCCTTTGTGTAAAAAACTGAGCTTCCAAAAATTTTAAAAACTAACAACAGATTCGAGTTCCTCGACCTCGATTACCCTTCGGTCAACACTTATAAAAAAAATTTTTTTGTAAAAAAAGTGGTTCTTTGTGTAAAAAAATCGATCCGAAAAAAATTTATAAAAACTAACATCAGATTCGAGTTCCTCGACCCCGATTACCCTTTGATTAAGTTTTTTAGAAAACGAGAAAGAGAATATTAATAAAATGTTTTTTTGACCTTGTGCGGACATACAAGCAAGCAATCAAGCAAGCCAGCAAACAATTTATGTTTGTAAGACTCTTCTCTACGAGAAAGAGAATAAAACGTTATTTAACTTAATTTAGAAAAGAATAAATGTGACGCAGAATTATTAGTTATTTTATGGAGTTCGTAATATTTTGTTGACACCAATATTTCAGACATATGACGGTATTTTTATTAGAGTCAACAATAAAATTTAAAAATTTATGATTATAGTTGGACAAATATGAGTTTGATTTTTCAAACAATGACATTCACGGAAATTTTTGGTGTATCGTTGCACTTTTGTAATCGCTGACCCTAGAGATGGCAGGATGGATGATGTAGTAAAAGGTGATTACCTGACTTGTGATGATCGAAAGTATTGCAGAAATGACGCTAACTATGAAGCAGAGAACGAAAATCCTGTATGTCTTCAATCTCGCATTCTAGAGAAGAAAATCAACCCAATGGATAGGATTAAAGCTATGCGATTCAACCCTTTTACCCATCTGCTGAAAGGAAATTTTAAAAATTCTCTGAAACCCACCAATACAAAAGTTGTTTAGATTGGGTTAACCTATGGTTTGAAAAAAGGCGATTTACGGCATCTATGGCAGCGATATTACACGAAAAATTCATTCAAATATAATGATCATATACACTTGTTTTGTATCGGTTCTTTACAATTAGATGCTACCTGTTTCATGTACCTATATATGAGATTCACTTTTCCTCTTTAGCAGTAAGTGCACAGCAAGCTGTTAATCAATGTGCTACTTCTCTTAGGACTCTTGAAAGAATGCCAAGTTACCATTCTCATGATTTTTCACCACTAGAAAAAAGCCTAGCTGGTGAATCCATCATAATACAAAAATTGTCGGTTATTTCAATATTTGCATGTTCGAGCCATCTCCTATACTTTTAACAAGTCGGTTTATTTATGTGATCCAAGTGCTTTGGCAACTCCTGCACGCTAGTCAAATCTCCTATCAATTGTATTCATAAAACTTTTATGAGTGTATGTAACTGCATACAAAAGAAGCGAGGACAATATAGAAGAGAAAAAGAAACGGAGAAAAATTTGATTTGAATATTTAAGAAATTTGAGTCTATTGATGTTCGCCAACGAGTGACCATCGAATAATAGGTATCCTTATTTCCTAAACATGATATCGTACCAATTTTTAATGAATGCTACGAAAACAAAAGTGATAACATACGTCAGGTAGTTTGATAAATTATTCGTGAAATGTTACGTAGAAGCAGAAGCTATACACAACCATAACAGAACTTTGCATGATTCTTTTTCTGAAAATTATTTCATTTGAAAAGAACAACTGCTACAGATGCGCATTACGGATACTAAAAGAAAGTTTCTATATGATGTGATTTTCAACATATTCCATAATCGTCTTATGGCACTAGATTTTTTTAGTATAGAAATGTTCGTAACCATCTGATTTTTGTGTCTATACTAGTTCATTAAAGTAAAGAATTCAAACTTGAACTAGCTTTCATAAAATTGCAGCGGCAACATCAGGTCTAAATGTGAAGATTTTAGTATTATTACGAACAGACATTAGATAAAAAATCCTATCTACAAATTGATCAAATATACCATCTAAACCGTTTCATTGTTCGCCAATTAGAGGCTCATTGAATGAACAAAAAAAAAGTTTCATTTCTTGACATGTTACATTATTAATCACAACGATTTCTCGATAAATTGAATATCATTATGCAATAAACTTTTTCCAATTTTTCTTTTTAAATTATAGAGTAAGTCTTACATTTGGTATTATGTTTTCATTATTTTTTCAAAAGAAATGATTCATTTGTCTTTATTTTTTAATATAAAGATCAATAATGATAGAGTAAAACTCCTACTGTTGATATCACATGGATAGTGTCTTAATGCGCAAATGTAGTGAGGTTCATCATAATAATAGTTAAAGTGGTCGCGTATAACGCGCAAATGACTACAGGTAAAATCATATCGACTCGATTGGTTGTCATATGCCAGTTTAGAGTGAAAGGAATCGAATTTCGGCCAGCATTAGTTGTCGTATTATAGAGCCTTTTATTGGCTACTCTAGATACATATTGTTTGATTGACATTACTAGAAACTCCTCCATATCAAAGACAATGGTAGAGACAATTTCCTAATATGAAGTCACTATAAATTAATTATGTATTATTATAAAATGTCAGATTCCCAATAAGACAATGAGCATACTTATAATTTTTTTATCCGATTTCAAGCTCACACCAGGCCTGATACCGGTGTCCGTAAGTCAATTGGCAATAATTAATGGAGTTGTAATGTTTCATTTCGACTCCAGCTCCCAAATAACTCTGAAAAGAGTAGGTGATTCAATATTAAATGAACAGGTTTTCTTTTCATACAATTTACTTTTTAATGCATTTTTTAGAACCAACGCAAGCGTTCTGAATCAGAAGTTGTAATAGAAAGAAACAATTAGAAGATTTTCAAAAAACGATTTATCACTAACATTCATTGAGAATGGCAAAATATTAATGTCAAACGAATGATGGAATTTTTATCATCACTTTTTTTTCAGTAATGATCAAAAATTATTTTTGTCTTGTGATGCACTCACGGAATCACTGCTATAGTTATTGCTAAGAGCCATCTCATGTTTCACGAGTAAACCTGTTTCTAAATAAAATCTGAACTACTTCACTGTTGTACTAATATACCTCAGTTATTAATTTTGAAAAAGTTTCTATCAATTACAATAATTTCATTGTCGTGAGAATTCTTCTTAGAGCTCGATTTCGTTTATGTTCCTAATCTAACTCTCCGAAACTTATCAAAGATTTTAGATAATGTGATCATCACACATTGATTTTGTTTTTTAACTCACTCGGTAGCATTTTTAATTGTCGTTACATTTTTCATAGTTATATTGACACAATTGGCTATTGAAACAGGTAATCGATAACTTGGTCTTTGATCTTTAGTAAATTGTGCACCCAAAAATATCCAAATTACAACTGCTATACCACTTAAAAGTCCAATAAGGCCACCACGAGCATTCGCTCTTGGAAAAAAGAAACCCAGCATGAATATACCCATAATAGGGCCAGAAAGAACACCCGATAATGATAGTGCTGCATTAAGTATTGAACCTAAATGGCTCACTATGTATGTAAGTGCCATTACAACAGCACCGAGTATAACTGAAAGAATTTTGGATATAAATCCTTGTCTTTCATCAGTCATTTTTCGTTGTAATAAACCTTTGTAAATATCTTCAATGAGAACTGCTGTCAAACTATTAAGTCCAGATGAAATCGTTGATAATGAACCCGAAAAAATACATGCAAGAAAAATACCAGGTAAACCTTTTTTATGACCCAAAACTTCCATAACGAAATAAGGAAACGTTTGGTCCACATCGCGTATATATCCAGCCGTGTATGGATCACAACCAGCATAATATGCATAGATAACTAAGCCCATTATTCCCGAGAGTATAATAATAGAAGCTACACCAATAGCATTAATAAATAGAGCATCTCGAGCCGCCCGTGTTGATCTTACACACATGTATCGTTGTATTTGCGTTTGATTAAAACCGTAGAGATTTAAAGCATTAAAAGAATTACCAATAAGAAAAGTCCAGACTGTATGACGTGTACGAGGATTCAAACTTACACTATATTATAAGTGTATGAAAGTATTCGAATTCGGAATGGAAAACATACTTATTTAATTCGATACGACCACCTTGATAAGCTATGGAAAATGTTCGTTTAAAACCACCGAGAACAATTAAACCTATTAGATAAAATTATCAATCAATTTGACTTCAACCAACTAATCTCTTCACAAGTATTTATTAATGATTTCAAGTTTTCATAATTACGAAAGATTCAGTGATCAATTTCTTTAATTTTTCATTTTCGGAACAATTACATAAAATTTACAAATGAAAATTGCTCAACAAATATAATACCAGTTATCTAAGAATTTTTCTCAAATGTTTTCTTTCATTGATGAATAATTCATTGTAATGAACATTCAAAACCAACACTTACTAACCTTGAGTAAGTCCAGCAAGGATTCCAACAAATATGATGACCGCTTGTAGAACATCTGTCCAAATAACTGCTTTCATACCACCCTATAATACAATGATCTTTATTAATCATGTTATCAAATGATGCACTTTTCATTCTTACCACTGATGAATAAAATGTACAAATAACCCCAATCGAAATGACTGAAAGCCAAATATTTAATCCTGTGGCTACGATGATAATTTTAAAAAAACAAGAAAGTATGGAAAAAAAAATATATCTTAATTAATATACTTTGACTTAATGCTAATGCAGGAGCATATAGCACAAGTGCCATATAAATTATCTACAAAAATAATGATGGTCGAACTGTTTTTGAATAAAAATTTGAACCAATTATTACCATGTATAAAGAAAAGAGGAATGAAGCAGTCATTCTCACTGATCGATCAAAACGAACTTCTAAATACTATTATTAATATTCAATGATTATCATTTATTGTTCAATGCATATCTGTTCGAGTATGACTTACCTGATAAGCACTTGTAAAAGCCATGGCACGAAATTTAGGCATAAACACCAAGGCTGCGGCTATAGATGCAATCGACCAGGAAATTGCTGCGGATATATTTTCAAAAAAATAATATCCTCAATATTTATTTGTTTGAAATATTTACCTGCATAACAATACATTGTTCCACTCAAGTATACCTCATTAGGTGTACCCAAGAGAGTAATCGCAGAAATAAACGATACCATGATACTCATGGCAGTAGGAAAAATACCCATACCTCCATCAGCTGAAACATTTTCCACCTAATAACCACATATCTTTGTCAATGTCTTACCTAAAAGAAACTCTTTAGCTGAGCTTTTCTTTGATTTAATGAAACCAAAGACAACGCCGATCGCTGCTGATGAAAGTAGCAATAATACTAATAAAATATAATCAACGATGCTTAATGTTGGCAATGCCATTGTTGATGGAAAACAAAATAATAATGATATAATGTCTGTAACCCTTTCTTTATTTTTAATCTTTTCTTTTGCAAAATATCATGATTATCTTGAATTGGATCGAAAATAAAAATGACGCTATGAAAATGTCGAGAGTAGATAAGAAATAATTATATTGGAAGTAATAATAAATATTAATATGCATTTTCTCGCATGTTTGCTGATGACTGAGTTATGATGAAAGTGTTGCAGTTACTATAAGAAAGTAGATTGATAAGATTTTCATGTTATTAATATATTTTTTAAAGTCACTAAATATATTCACAAACTGCAAAATATAAAAAACAATTAAACCAGAAACTTTGCACACACAAAAACTGATTCTGAACACAAAATGCAAAAACACTGGTAAGAAGTTATTAAGATAAGGTTCTTGTTTTTCTTTTTAATTTAATTCAATGTTAATGGTTGAATTCATTCTTGTGATCGTGAATAATTTGGAAGAACTTGATGTTTTAGAACATTAGGAGCATTTTTTACCGTCGAAGAGTTACAAGTTCTGTTTAGTATAATTCCTGAGGTACTAGCATGTCCAGAATTACTTACGAAATTCTCAATGCTGGTGATTTTCAAAATTACAAATTAAAAAATAATTATCATTGACATTTTGTAGGCATTTATTGACGCTGTAGCATTTCAAGAATCAGACTTTCGAATAATTTATTACACGAACTCCAAAGTGTCTATGGGATTGAGATAGGAACAATGCAAAACAATCATTGTGTTCTTTACATAAGCCTGTCAGTTAAGTTTAAGTGAAGTTGTGTTAATAAACTATTTCGCAATTTTTTTCATGCATACTAGTTTCATAAAAGGTTAGATCTTAGATACTTATTGTATTAGTTTTCTGAACTACTTGATGGCAACGAAATTTGTCGGATGCACCAAATTCAAAGTCAGAAATGCATTGTTAAAATCTAAATAACTGTTGAATATGAATAATCTTTCGCATCAGATTTTTCATACAGAAATATTATTTCAGATTTCAAGAATTAAAACAGATCGCTATAATACAGTATCTATTGACAAGAGAAGATTGAACAACAATGTAAGTGATCGATTCTTTTAGTAATTCTATTTATTTATATACAAAGTTTTCTATCTTTTGTTGTATTGCTTGAAACAACGACATCGTTCAAAACAAGGATGAAAGCAAGAGTCTGAAATGAAAATGAAGCTACATAACTTGTTTAAGTATATGAAGTTTGCTTGCGAAATGCTGTAAAGACAAGAAAAAGAAAGTTAAATAAACATGTATGAGTGGAATATCAGAATATAAGGAATAAATGGTGAAATCATGTTTTTGTTCTTTTCTTTTTAAACATTAGTCTCCTTGTTTTCGATAGTTTATGGAAAAATGGAAGTTAATTAAACAATTAGAAGACTATTCTAATTTTAAAATACAAAAAAAATATCAGAAAAGTTACAACCAATAAATTTTATTACGTCTTTTTCTTATACTTAGACATGATAAGATCTTTTTCTTCTGTACAGCACAAAGAAAATAACACACAAAATACAGAGAGGGGCAATGAAAAACATTAACATGAAGTATAAATGAAGGTTAACTTTTTTTCTTTCTTTCTTCCGAGTACAAAACTAAAAGAAGGACAAACATGTAAAAAAACATATGATAAAGAACAATAAGCACTCACATATTCTTATTCACAACACACACGTACTACAGTATGTTGCTACTATTCCAATTGTGTCTTCTGTTTTTTACAAGTATCCTGTTTCACATCGGTATCTCTAATCCAAATGTCAGTTCTACTAGTGATCATCTTTCATATGAAGGCATAATTTCATTATTTACAGTATTCATTGCATCCAAAGTTGGCTAATTTCTCACATGGATCATTACTTTATAACAAGCATTTTCGCCATCTTTAATTTCGATATTTTTTCCACAAATACCAACATCTTTTGATCCATTAACATTAAATCCAATTTCAATAGTTGGATACATTTGTATGATCATCGGTGGCTTGGGAAGAATTTGGTGTTATCGAACATGAGGAGTATTTTTTACTTTTGAACTAACTATTCGTCATACTCATAAATTAATCAAGACTGGTCCATATACTTATGTAAATCATCCAGCGGATATATTTGGCTATCCGTTACTAAACGGTATGTTACTAGTTCATAAACGATTGACAAACTTTTTTCCTAATGAAACATGGATACACATTCTACTCAATCCGATTATAATTTTCATATTTTGTTTGTTCGTAATGTTGGTTATCAGAAGACGTGTCATACTTGAAGAACAAGAATTAGAAAAGTTTAGTACTGAATGGACTCAATATGCGTTAAAAACTAAAAAATTTATACCAAAAGTTATTTAATGTAGATGCACTTATCTGTAATGTGATATAGCAAAATATATGTTTTCAATAGTATACATAATAGTTTCACCATGACGTTTGCGTTCGTTTCCATATAGAAGTAAGTTACAATTATGTTTCTATTATTTATTGTCTGAATCAAATCAGATTTTGTAGATTATATTATCAATGCTTCGTTTTCATCGAACTACTCTAGTAAAAATAATAGTGAGTTTCGTATAACTTGTCGTTGAATGCTATTTCATTACTAGAATTTATATATTAAAATAAAAATTGAAAGAATTGAAGATTTTGAGGACATCTGACACATTGTAGTCGCTCATAACATCAATATTTCGAATTCATTTTTCACTTTGAAAATGCAACATTCTATCGAATGACGTTTTCTAACTCTTAATTTTTATTCGAATACCTGTGGAATGTATCTTATTCTTTTTTTTTTGAAACAATTATTTTCAAATCATCGTAACTTTTTATATGTTACTCACGTAAGAAATTCAATATTTTTGCCATTTGTATAAACGATTAGAAGCTTTCAAAAAGTCATGTTGAAAGAGAAAAGAACGTTTGTTTTACTGCATACAACCATTTGAAATATTGCCATTCAATCAACCATTTAAACAATTTTATATACACATGTGATAATGGGAGGTAAAAGAGGAGTTTTTTTCTCACGCTCTTTAATCAACCGACTTTATTAAAGGATACAATTCGTGTGGAACAAAAATGGGAGCTGAACCTCAATCTTGGGGAGTGGGTGTGGGTGCAAGTGTCACTCTTCTCTTCGCCGACACCTCCGCTTATAGCCATACCCACATCCTAAACGACGTTGCTAACTTTGTTCCAGAAAACACGATCGGAATGTCATCATTCATTGTGCAAGTTGTAGTACTCCTTATTGTCCAGTTCATTATCAAGTCATTTGCACTGCGTGTGGGGAAATATTTTTAAAATAAAAGCTCATCATGAGAGAATTTCTAGAAAAATAAAAGATAATTGAATACAAAAAAAATATTTTGTGCTAGCTATTCATGTTGAAAGATGCTTATCTCAGATCGCGTCGTAGTTATATAGATTATTAGTTATGAAGTGTAGGGTGTCTATTTTATCAACTTAGGGTCCTCATGGGCTCCAAAAGAACAACAATATAGATGAGCGTGTCACAATTAATAAATATAATTTTCCTTGTTTGCTTTTTAAAAATAAAGAATTTGAAGCAAAATTCTGCTTTGAATTAAAATTGTAACAAAACTCTTTTATGAAAACATAAATTCTGACTAAAAGTTTCCTTTTTTTAAAAACTACATATTTACATCTAATTTTGTATGTCATAAGAAAAAATTGTGCGTCAAACCGAAACTCAAACACAATTTTACTGTAATGAAATAATTATCAACCTAATTTTGATTTTGTAGACGGGAGAAACGTATAAAATGAAGTAAATAAGCGTGTAACACAAAAGTAATGAACTACCAAAGTTCTTCATTTCTGCTTGTGACGAATTCTACCACTGCTGACAAAATGATGATGTTTTTAGGAAAAGAACACTTCTATGTTAATTATATCATAATGAATAATAGAAAAATCATAAAGACGATAGAAGTGCTGCGAAAAACATAGTGCATCTCATTAATATTTGATTATTGGTTATTTCACAAACATGAATGAAGGCACAGAAACGAAACTCATATCAGTGATGTACATATAACCGACGTTTTGTTTTGATTACTATTATACAAAAACGTCAATATATTAGTTTCATTCTGGTCGTTGGCACAAAAGACTTCGTAAAACACAGAGAGCAAACGTAAGTGTTTTGAAATGGCAATCTCTTTAGAGAGCGCTTTTTTTATTATCACTATCAAGTGATTTTTTTTCTATTTTTGAATAGTAATACTAAGCCTATGTTTTAGATTTTTCTCATATCCCACTAATAATTTTCATGCTGGCAAACATGTGCTGAAAATTCTATAGAAAATGAATAGTAAACGTTAACTATTGTAAAGGCACCCTTTTCAGAGAAGATATGTAGCAGGAGCTGTTAACCAGCTTGGTGAAGCCCCACGTAGAAAAAAAAGACTAGGTGTGGGTGTGGGTGTGAGTGTTATTTTTCTGTATACCCACACCCATTCAAATCCGGTCATAAACCAATCGGTAGAGCTTATATGACTTGTCTCTTTAGCTTCAATGCCCCACGGACAATACTATCGCTTTTTTCTATTTCATTTTTTCACCACTTAATACCCTGTATTAAAAAAACAAAATACACCATAAGATGCAGTGTGAAGAGAACTATGATTTCCATAAGACCGCTTTCTTTACAGTTGCCTCTTTGTTTTCAACATGGACAAAACTTAGAGGGTGTGTGGTGTGGGTGTGGCTATTCTTTAAATCTACATCCACAGCCAGACACTAGAAGGGGCTACCTTTTGGCTTTGTTCTATTTGGCCTGTTCGATAGCAAAATTCGAAATACGAGGAGCATCCTAAAAATGCCTATTACTTCGGATAGTGCTTGTCTTATGAGACCTGCAAAAGCTCAGTAGTATTAGTTTTTTTCAATATAAAAAAAGTAGGTGTTCTAAACTGTTCCTACTCAGGGCGAACAATCAGACAAGACTCTACGTCTGATCATATATGGTCTTGTATGATCTGATATGAAACGTACAAAAACTCGTAGTCTTTGGCATCTTACATCAATTCTTATTGTAAGATTATAGAGAGTCTTATGCGATAGTAGGATCTAACGGGAATCTTACAATGAGAATTTATGTAAAATTTCAAAGATTACAAGTTTTCGTATGATTTCATATGATCATATAAAACTTTTAGAATTTTTTACCTGAGTAGTGTCTATAAAAGAATTTCAGCCAAATCGGATGCATTGTACCTGAGAATCGGCGGCTATTCTGTTGATTTTCGCTGGAAAACCGGATCTCCAAAATGCCATAAAGTAAGAAAAAATTGTGTGATACACCTACAAGAATCATTATATCTTTTCAATATTATTTTTAATAGAAGACTATGTTTGAGCTCTCGAAATGTCACTAACAGAGAGAGAGAGGTAGAACACTTGAAAGCACATGTAGGACGGAAAAAAACAAAAATCAAAGAATTTGAAAATTTTGATTCCGGAAAAGGGGTTCCCTTCGCCAATCAACATTGATATTGGTGGAAAAAAAAACTTAGCTTTAGGCATAATTGATTGTATTCGAAGAAGTTATTATTCCACGATCTTTAATCCTACAACTTTAATTTTACTTAAATTACAATCTATTTCAATCCGATTCCATCCGTTTCTTTTTTACAAAGATTGCGTAAGAAGAAAAACACGCGAGCAGAGAATATAAACAATCAGAATTTAGCAAGATTGCAAGAAGCAACACATTTTTTCTTTTCTTTTCTCTCGACATATTGAAAGTATTCCTTTCTCATATATTTTTACAAGTGTTTATATTTGATGAGTAGTGCAAATTGTTGTTTTTCTTCGGTTTTAGAAATATCATACGAAAGATTGAGATAAAACCAGTCAATCTTTAATTAATAGACATTTAGTGTGTAGCAAACTGAAGTAATAAAAGAAAACAATCTCTAAATATTAATAACAACCAAGATGGCTACACATTCAGCAACGTCAGTACTTTTACCAAGGAAATCATGCATGATGGATAACTTTATCATTATTTGGCTGGACTTAAGCATGAATGAATTAGATGATTTCGTGAATCAGCTGCATCAGTCTACCCTTTATTCTATTTACACGTTTGATGAGCCTGATTCGTGTGTTGATTTTCTCTCGGAAATTCAATATGAAAAAGTATTCTTTATTGTAGCAGCTTCACTTGCTCGAACCGTAGTGCCACTTATTCACAATATGCATCAAGTCTACCATATTTATATCTCAGGTAATAAACTGTTTGAATATGAACAAGAATGGAGAAAAATTAAAGGTGTATTTACGGACATCTCAAGTATTTCGAATACACTCAGAAGAAATATTCATCAATATGAACAAAATACAGAGTCTATTAGTGTTATACCGACTGACATTAATGATAATCTAAATGAACTCGATTCATCATTTATGTATTCACAATTATTAAAAGAAATGCTTCTTGAAATTAAATACGACCAACAAGCAAAAGCACAATTTGTTAAATTCTGCCAAGATAAATATTCTCATAGCGTTGGAATATTGCATGCCATTGATAATTTTGAACAGAATTATTACTTGCACTCACCAATCTGGTGGTATACGAAAGAACCGTTCATCTATTTAGTACTTAATAGAGCATTGAGATTGCAAAATATTGATGTTATACTTAAAATGGGATTTTTCATACAAGATCTTCATCGACAAATTGAACAATTATATTCGAAAAAAAATCAGACGGCAGACTTGACTCTCTATCGTGGTCAAGGTATGTCAAATACTGAATTTGAAAAATTGAAGAAGAACGAAGGTGGTCTTCTTGCATTTAATAATTTCTTATCAACAAGTTATGATGAAGAAGTCTCTATTGCTTTTGCTACAAGTGCATCAGATGATCCAGAATTAATAGGAATTCTCTTTCGAATACAAGTTAGTCCGTTAGTTGCATCTGCTCCATTTGCGTCATTGGATAGTATCAGCTACTATTCAGATTCAGAAAAAGAAACTCTTTTCTGTATGCACACTATATTTCGAATTAGTTATATAAAGCAAATTCAAAATCGAATCTGGCAAGTGCAATTGGCACTAACTAGTGATCATGATGAACAACTTCAGCGTCTTACTGAACGTATACGATATGAAACTCGAGGACAAGTAGGAAACTATAGATTGGGCACATTAATGATCAAGATGGGTGATTTTCAAAAAGCTGAATTATTTTTTAAAACACTCATCGAACAAACATCTGATAATAACTGGGAGCTTCTTTCTCATCTCTATAATCAAATGGGATTCGTATATAAAAGCATAGGCAACTATCCTAATGCTCTTGCTTATTTGGATAAGGCACTTCATGCTAAATTACAATATCTTTCACCGAATCATCTTGACTGTGCTACAACATATAGTAATATTGCTACGGTGTACGAAGTGATGGGAAATTACTCAACAGCTTTGTCGTATTTTCAAAAGACACTTGAGATTCAAGAAAAATCTTTACCATCCATTCATTCAGACTTAGGCACAACTTACAATAATATTGGACTAGTGCATCGTTCGAATGGAGATGCTTCAAATGCATTATTATATTTTCAAAAGTCACTTGAAATCCAACAACAAAGTCTTCCACCATCTCATCCTGATTTAGCTTTAACATATGGTAACATAGGAGCTGTATATCAAGTTTTGGGCAAATACTCAACTGCATTGTCATATGTCCAAAGAGCTCTCAATATGCAAGAAAAATCTCTACCGCCTACTCATCCTCATTTGGCTATGACTTACGCCAACATCGGTATAATATATGATGCAATGGGAGATTACAATACTGCTCTTTCATATTATCAAAAAACTCTAAATATACACGAAAAGGTTCTTCCGTCTTCTCATCCTGACCTGGCTGTGATGTATGGTAACTTGGCCGGAATATATTATTCGATAGAAAATTATATGGCTGCAGTAGAATACTACAAAAAATCAATTAAAATCCAAGAAAAAATTGTTCCACAGAATCATCCTAGCTTAGCAACTACTTACAATAATATTGGTAGTGTTTATAATGCCATAAATGAACCATCAATAGCTCTTTCATATTATAAGAAAACATTAGAAATAGAAGAAAAATACCTTTCTCCTATGCATCCCACTTTAGCCACGACTTACAACAATATCGGAATGGCACACGATACAATGAAGGATTATGCGACTGCAATCTCTTACTATGAACAAGCACTTGAAATTTATCTTAAAAATTATTCACCAGACCATCCTGATTTAGCAGACGTATATAACAATATTGGTGTAGCAAACTATCAAATTGCAGATCATGAGACAGCAATTAAATTTTGTAAAAAAGCACTCGAAATACGAGAAAAATCTCTTCCAGCAACTCATCCCGATATAGCACGTGCTTATAATAACATAGGTGTAAACTATGGATTAATAGGGGAATATTCTTCTGCTTTGATCTATTTTGAAAAGGCCTTGCAAATTCTCGAAAAAGCTCTTCCTTTAAATTATCTCCTACTAGCATCAGTTCACTACAGTATGGCAAAGACATTTGGAGATTTCTTTCAATACTCAGAAGCTATTGAGCATACATTACGAGCCATCGATGCAATAAATCAATCAAAAGAACCAAACAGTCCTCAAAAGCAGAAATATCAAGATTATCTTAACGAACTTCGACAAAAGATATGAAAAATATTTTTTGAATTCTCTACCTAGTTCAGATTTATTTTACTTAATAAAATATTGTAATTACTAAATAATTCTGCTTTTCTTTTCAATAAGGTACTCTTTGTGCTCACTTTTATTATGCAAATACACTTGAGGATGTGTCTTTCGATATTATTATAAAGAGAAGAAATCCAAGTCGACACCCGAAACTCCAGATTCGCATCAAACCATCTACGTCTATCATATTTGCTCCCAAGGTCCGATGGAATGCGCTGTGTGTGAGTGCTTTTTGACTGTAGCAGGTGTGAGTGTGGGTGCAAGTGAGGGTGCGGATGTAGCTCTGTAATCGAAGTATTACCACACCCGCACCCACCCTAATCTTATACTATGAAAATTAGTATCTCAGATTTTTCAACGTGTTTAAGTTGTCAGCATTGACTACATCAATTATTTTGGTTCTTTTTTAGATTTCAGCATGACACTAATAAGAAGCATTAAGAGACGGACACGATGGAAATATTATATAATAATACTGTAAGAAATGTTCAATTTTTATCTGTCATGAATAGTTAAATAAAGCTTTTCAAAAACTGACGTCAAAGGTGAAAATCATCAGTTATAGCAGAAGTGTGTACATTGAATCTTTGAATTTGAAATGTTCTAACTGGAAAAAAAATTATATTCAATATTTTAAAAAGTCTAGAAATGATTATTCATATTAAAGGGTTTTTTAAATTCAGCATGACGCAAGAGAGGAACCTATTAAAGAACGTCAGAGTAGAGGTATGATTGCAGATTTGGGTGTGTATTCTTTCTAGGTATTCATACTCACATCCTATCGTATTCTTTTGTTTTGTACCTTAAATATTCCCAAAAATGGTTTATTATCATCAAAAATGCATTCTGAATTAATTCATCCAAGTTGCTATGTTCAGCTTAAAACTCATACATTAAGACGTCCTTAACATGGAAGCACTTTCGGATGCAAAATTTACAAGTTTAATAAAGCAAAAAGCTTGTCAACGGAGCTGTGATTGTCCGTAATGTTGTTTTCCATTGCTGTGTGTTTGTAGTGGGATAGGCAAGATGAGGAACTGGAAAAACTTTACCTTAAAGCTTATATTCATTATTTTCCTCGGAGATACACGGGAGTTTCACAAATATGAGTATTTTATTATACCTATCATATTTTTTATTTTATTCCGGTTTTTTTTTCTCATCGAAACTCAATTATTCACATATATTGCCTATGACTAAACTTTTTGATCAAAAATTTTATGGATCTTATTCGATATTTATTTGTGCACATATAATATTGCAATGCATCATTCAGTTTCTTTTTCTGTCTTTTATAGGCATGAAAGTTATATATAATAATATTCATATTCAATATGTTTACGAATTTGTATGGCATTAAGACCATGTTAGAAGGAAGCCTGTAGAATATTTCCTTAAGGCTATGATAGATGCTTTTGTTTTTTCATTCATCTCGATCATAATATAATGTGCAATATACCATCATTTCGAATAACTCAATCAGTTCATTGTCTAGTTTTTGTTGTTGATCATTGATAAGCGCAGTATTTACCTATCACATTTAAGTTCAAATTTATTTTAGATTTCATACGCTTAGATTGTAGTTCTTATTTGAATAAGATTGCACACATGTCAGACAAGCACATATAATTGTTTCGAGTTTATTAAAAACTCACATAGTAAAGAAAATGCATTATATTTAGTCGATAATTTATTTATCTAATTCAACCGCATGTTGAAAAATACTAGACATAACTGAGTTTCATGTCGATGGTCTTCTAGAGGAGGTTCGAGTTCCAATCGTTTCGTGCTCACTTATCCAACCCGAAATCGTCCGTAGCTGAATTTCTTTATTGCAGCAGCAACCAGTGTTTTGCTGATCTCGAGTGCGATTCAAAGAAGTTGATGCAAGCTCGATTCCACAGTCACACATTTCAATTGAATACTCATTGGTCAATTCTGATCTATAGAGTTCTAATGTTTCATCTGAGCATTCATCGAGATTAATTTTAATTCTTCGACCATCTTCTGTTTCTTTGACTGAAGTTATTGTAAATGGAACATAGCGTAAGATTAAAACTTCTTTTTCTTCAGGATATAAAGATATTGATTCAATATCTAGTGCTGAACGACGTTGAGTATTTTTAATGTTATATGTGCAAAAAATTGATATACTATCGCTAGAATCATTCGAACAAAATCCAAGTGCCACAGTTGGGTCCTTACTGGTTGATAGAAATGTTGTTGTTAATATCGTAGCGCCTATTTTATAATCTTCTATGAGTTTCTTATCTTTAATAACCGCAGCACGATAAGCGTTTTTCTTCCGAACAAGATAATCATCTAATTTCGGATGAAATAAAATATTGGTAAATGCTTCCGTATACTCCTGGATTCGATCCAAAACTGGACAGCTTAAACTTGTGCAGTAAAGAGTTGAAAAATGATTTGAGTTGGCTGATGAATGTTTATTCAGGCAACGTGTGAAAACTTGTTTGCAACTGTAAACTTCAATAACTAGCTTTGGATTATTTTCATCACGAGCGTTTTTGAGTATTTCTCGCACAGGATTCCAAGTTTTATCATTAGGTTGAAACTTTAAGAATGTTTCCCCTATTATCTTTAGATAATCCACTATACTCGAAGACAAATCCATTTTCTTCAAATCCTGAATAAAATTTTCAGCTATCTCTAAAGGTTTCTTGTTGTCTTCAAGCACGAGGTGCCATTCTGGCTGTTCTATCTTTTTCTTCTCACTCAGAATATCATGAAGATCACAATCATCCGCGCCATAGACCTTCCTTAGTAAACTTTTCTTTAATGTTGCTTTTGATGCCGTAGATGACTCACATGACAGCAGTGTTAGTAACGAATTTGAAAACTGTGTAATGATAACCAATAGGAATGTTACTAACCAATTTCTAATCGTCTGTAATCGGTACCATAAAGTCATTTGATTCTTTTTTCGAAATTCTACAAATAACCAGTGGCTTATAAGTTCTTAAGAAATTGAATCTTTCAGACCGATGATTATACGTTGAATTTTGTACATTTCATTTTGTTTAGCACACTTCTAAAATATCAAGTAGAACATAGAATGTATATTTAGAACCCTTGCTACATTAAACTTCTGAGTAAAATGTTTGAGTTTGACTAGTCTTTTCAGAAGACTATAATAATAATAATATAATAATCTCACATAGGCTTGTCGCCCATAAGGGCCAGCTGCGATTATTATTAGGGTTCACATGCAGCTAGTTTCCATCGTCTTTGTCTTTTTACAGACGGTGATATTTGCACTTCTCTCGTCTAACATACTAACTAAGGATATATTCAGCGCGTTACGAATGAATTATTCGAGACAACTTAGCCGTCAGTGACTTGTCTAGGATCATTCCATGGATGGTGATACTGTGGTTTGAACACAGTACCTTGTGAATACGTGTTGAACAACGTAACCACTCAACCATGGCGACCTTTTCAGAAGACTGCAAAAATCAATTATTGAATCTTATACCTTTAAGTGATACTTTCCTCGATGTCTAAAAGCTAGCTGGCTGAAAAACGATCGAAAATGATTAATGATCAAATTACAATGCAAACTATTAAGAAAACAAATCTGCATGTTACATACGAGATTAGAGATGATTCGCACTTATATTGATTGATTAAATAAAAATTTGATTCATTCAGAGAGATTTATTTCATTCATCTGATAGAAAACACTAACTATCTGATAAATATGAACTTCAGCTGAAAGCAGTTCGAAATTTGTAGAACAGAATCTATTGAAAACAAAACAATTGATGAGTGCCCCATAAAAAGAAGACAATCTTTTCTTCTTTTAAGAACGCAACTCAAGGCAATTAAGACTTCGTTTTATGGTCAATCGATAAGGAATCTTTCACTCTACAAAACTATCTACTTCGCTTATTCAATAATTATTTCTTATAAGGAAGAAATTAAAAATATGAACAGAAACTGAATTATTTACTTGTGACTCTTAGAAACAAGTCGATTGTAAAAAATATTTTTAAATAACGGTTCTGCCGAAGTGTGAAATTGTGCAACGCGTGATGAGGAGCCTTGAAAACAGAGCTACAAACAGGTCACGTTTTCTAGAATTGTGCAGCCTATCAGGCTGCTTTTCAAGCAGATACAATAATTAGAAACGAGATGTCCATATAGGTCACTAAGGCTACTGCTTAATCCGATACTGACCTACAGTTTGTCGCACAAAAAAATCCCTATCGAATAAGTCTGAAACGAAGTCTTTAATATCTTAAATAGTGTTCTAAAAAAGAAGAACTACATATTTACGTTTATAGTCGTTACTGAAAATACATTCAATTAAAGCTCAAAAATAATGTAAATAAAAATTTTGACTAATGTTTGAATTTCAAAAACTAATTACATACTTTAACAATTCATTCATTTTCTAACTGAAAACTGCCTGTAACTGTCAACTGACTAATACATTCTATCAAAGGTCGATGACATCAATATAATATTTCGTAGACGATCAAAAACGAAAAAGAAATTTTCATAACATTACTCAGAAAAATATTTTTTTAATTTTTCTTTCATATCCATAGCAAACTATAATGAGTAGAACAGTAAAAAGAAAATATAATCTATGTACCACTGAACAATAATATGCATGACTCAATTTTCTTTGCGAACATCATTAAACGAAATATTTACCTATGGAAGCTCGACGAAAATGAAGTTTTTTTCTCATCAAAAACAACTATGAATAAAACAGGTTTTATTTGACTTTGTTTGATTAAATTGAGACGATTTTAATCAAACTTTAGTTAGGTGCATAAGTTTATTAATTGGACGTACAAGAAATTAATTAAGGCTCCGCCCTCAAAATTCAATCTCAGCTTCGGAACATCGAGACAGCATGAAACTTTGGGGATATGTTGAAGGTGTAAAAGTACGTCTGTGATAAAATTTTCAGCCTCCTATCATGATGTATAAGGTATATACGAACCAAAAAAGGGTCGAAAAATAGCTTATCGCATCTCCAAAAAATCTGTATGGGTATTCATTCAATACGGTTGAGTGTTTTTTCATATGAAAGCGCATGTCAGGATGCAGTGCCGATGAGGACGCTTATTTTTAAATTGATATCTTTATGAAGAAAAAAAAGCTTCACAAATTCAATCACTCAAAAGTCTCCCAAAAAAATGATGATTTTATTATAAAGTCGCTTTTCAATTTAATAATAAGAAAGCTTTATCAAAAAAGAGCCCTCATCGGCACTGGGATTTTTTATGTTCTTTCAAACAAAACAAAAATATTTGACTTTATATCCCATTAAAGTTCACTTTTGCCGGAGGTGCATCCTCCGCCCAGACCTTTGAGAAAAAAAGAAAAAAATTTTGAATTTTTTTAAAAACCGCTGATCTTTTCGAATAGGAGTTTTAAAACATCTTTAAAATTTTTGGGAAAAAAGTAGGTATCGAAGAAAAATGTTTACTGTTTATGTAAGGGCAAATGACAGGCTATATCCTTTTATATTTATCTCGATTTTCATGATTCTGACGATAACTGTTTTTCTTAGGGGGACGCCTTAAAACCAGTATATACATAATAAACAACTTTTATACTGTTTATGCTCTTCCATAAATTATTCATATTCTGACACTTGAATAAATCGGCAAATTACTGTCGATTTTGTGTATATTGGAATTTTCTCAATTACATTCGTAATTATTCAATACAACCTGTCGACTTAGCAGCATTTTCGATACTATTGTGTGAGGAAGTGTCTCTCTATTCGTCTATTAATGACAGAGAAACGTAGGGGAGAGAGCAAGAGAGACATTGCTTCGTACTTCGTTTTTTCCTTTTTGTGTTATTTTTGAAAGTGGGGAAAGGGTGTGGGTGTGTATCTTCTGTTCTGTCACATCCACATCCACACCCACACCCCTGGACAACGGCTTCCTCTTTTC